ACACGATATACATTTTAGTTTTTATCTGCGTTTTATCTAGCGCTTTTATCAACGAGTCATTTCAAATTAATGCTGAACAATTTTTCAACGAGCGAATCATTATTCTAACACCTCGAATCATCGCTGCTGAGGTTCGAACAGTCGAACTGTCATTAGGACGAACAGTAATGATCGTTTTTGACTTATTTTTTGTTACTTAATTTTTTTTTTACTTAATTTTTTTTTTTTTACTTAAAAGAATGTTCACCGACGACAAGCAAATATTTATTTTTGTCAATCAAGTATAGGCGTCATGAAGAAAAGAACGCATTGATCTGCAAAACAAAGATAAACGAGACAAAGTCGACATTACAAAAAAGATTGAATTCTACTTTTTTCGAGATGAAGATACATAATTTCACTGATGAACAGTCACTATATTTGCGTGTCATTGACTCCAAATTATGCAAATTTTTTAACCTATTGTCTTCTTACATTTAAATCCCGTAAATACAAATTTGTATCTAAATTCTACATTAGACTTGAAAGAAAGAGAGAGAGAGAGAGAGAGAGAGAAAAAAGAAACAGAATATGTAACTACTAAACCCACAGAATACAAATGGCAACTTGTTAGTTGATAGAGGCGACATGTTGCCGACAACAATGAATATCTGGAATCGAAATGGCAAATTATCATCAATCAATAGACCAGGACAGAGAGAGAGAGAGAAAGGGAAGCAAGAGACACGGATAGGAGAGTGAGACGCGAACTGGCATCAACAATCGACATTGGTGAATACGAGAGGGAGAATACATCCTGGACCGGGACATTTCGAGAGTGCTCGATGCGTTGTCACTCAGGATCTGCTCCTGGTTCATCTCTTGGCGATTCGAAACAGTCTTCTCGCTGTGATGCGTGTTGTTACGCCAACAGCTCGTCGCATTCGTGCACGTCGCTACATCAACCAAACCAAATTGACTTGGCACGATCGCGGACTCACATAGATACAAATCTCTCATCAAAGAATCGAACCAAATCCGCTATCGCGCCGTGTTAATGTGTCGCGATAAACATCTCATCCGTAATTACCTCGACGATCCGATTTTATTTCGCAAGTTGTGTCGAGAGAGTCTTCCGGAAATGCAGCAAATGACGTTTTTCGCAACGTCTACGTGGATAATCGTCGATAACCGCAATTCAAACAGTTTCCCGTCAGAACAAAACACAGAATTCCGAGGATCTCGGAATTCGGTCGCGGCGTCTCCGCGTCTCGATGCCACCCGGATCACCCGGTAGAATCCCGTAGGCACGCGCGTAGCTATTTACCCAACTCTCTCGCGTAGACAGCCGGCGGTTGTACATAGGCGGAATAGCCGGCCGGTGGGCGCGTACATACTCGGCCGCAGTTACGTATCTGGAAACCCGCCGCTGCCGGTTGGTAGAGGCGGGTGGTAGGTAGAGGTACCGGTATTATATACGTAGTGAGGGCTGGAGGGTCCTCAGCGCCGCAACATTACGCTGATTGCCTGAATTATCCGCAACCAGCCCGCCTGTACTCTCCGCTATGTACGGGGCCGTGCTCTCACATAGCCGCCCGCTGGTACATATGTGCCTCTCTCGTTCGCGTTCGCGCACTGTATATACCATCTATATGTATACATACATATGTATAAATACATATACATATGTGTATATAAGCGTATATACGCGTGCGTCCCCGACCGCGCTCTCCAACAACGTGCACCGGCTGCACATACGCATTCGCGAGAGCTACGCGCGCGAACTCACGCGTGCTCCGGTCGTGCGACGCGTATATATACGTACGTACGTACGTACGTACGTATATGTCACGAACCACGCCTCTCTCCTAGCGTGCACGTACATACGTATCGTCACGCTCGTAGGACGGTTCACGAGGAGAAAATTGAAAACGGAGCTGCGCGCGAGCGCGGAAGACGATAGCGCGATATATTCATGAAGGTGGAATAATGAATCGAGACGAGAAAGAGAAGGATACACATGCACACGCGTGCGCGCGCGCGAGCGCTGCATCCCCGATGCGGCATGCGCGTTATCTGTCGTACCGGCAAACCGCCGCGAATCGATCGCTTTATTTTTCAGCATAGTTCGACGCGCTGAGAAATTTCAGCCACGTACGATACCGATGAGAAAATCTACTTTTCACAGGAGCGTTAACACTTTCTTGAATTATTAATTTTGCCAAACCACATTTCCAGTCTCAAAATCAAACTTTTGTTTTTAATTGTTCAAGTGATCATTTTAATTGAAGCTTCAAATGCTCAAAAACAGAAGTAAACAGTTTAGTTGCAAATAGTTTATCATTTTTTCTTAGGTTTTCTCTCCTTTAGGAATATATTAGGTGTGTGCAAAAGTTTTAGTCTTTTTTTTTTTTTTTACTTTTACTTGTTAATCATAAAATACAGTGCGTACAAATCAATTTGGAAAACATTTTTTCTCATTTTCTGTAATTTTCTGCCATCTTATAAAAACACAAAAGAATGGGAAAATATTTCAATTGAATAATAATTTTATTAGGAGAATGAAAAAAAAGACTACAACTTTTACATACACCTAATATATACATATATATAATATTTTATCACATACAATATTCCAAAAAAATGTATTATTACATTTAAGTAACTGAAGATGAGACAGTGTTATAAATTTTCTACGGCAAAATAATAAAAAACAATTTTAAAATATCCGCTGTGCATTATGATCTCTTGTGATGGGCACCATGTTAGATGGATATTAACAAAAATATAGCGTTCATAAGTTATCGCCAGCGAAGGATGACGAAAGGTAACTTCACGGAGTCGTGGCAGCCCTAGCTGTGAATTTGTTTCGACCGTAACGCGAGCTTGCATCCGAATGACGAAGGGACTAGAAGGGCTGAGAAGGGTTAAGGACGCGTATCATACCGCTTGATTAATGTACTTCACCCGTACATCCGCCCACCTCTGGCTGGGCGATTCTGCGTACACACACGGACACACGTGTCATTTGTTAGCTACGCCACGGAACGAAGCTACACAGTAACAATAAAACCTTTAAAGAGAAATGAATACTGCGAACGCGTGAATTTATGATTCGACAGGAGAGATAAACATTTTTTGGTGTTTTTAAGACACTCCGATCTTTTTCTTATATAAATTGTGCAAGTTTTATCAGCAAAAACAAATATAATATCACCGAAATTTAATGTAGATAATGATAAAAACAATTTAAAACAATTTTGCAATTTCTTGAACCGATTTAATACATCACGTAAATACACACGGATTTTTGCGGAAATGACTTCTTATATTTCGTCATATGCATTTTGTCACATGCAAGAAACTTCAATATCTGAAAAACATCTTGATAACAAACACGTTATCGTAGCTTTTTTGCCGGTTATGTGATGCGGTCCGAAACATTCGACCCTGTCATCGTCATATTTATTAATTCTATGTTTTATCAGATGCGAACTGGACATTGCGCTAAGGCTAGTTGAGTGTAGATTAGAAGATACGAAACAAAGATACGCATGTCGCTGACAGTTTTAACGATAAGCAAGTTGAGTGGTTGAAGAGCTCTTATTCATTATTTCCGTGACTAACTCACATGTAGTAATAATACATTTTTTGGAATATTATATATGATAAAATCTTTTTATATAAATCTCTTATATTTTATACGTGTATTACATATGTACATATCTATATACGAAGAGAAAAACAAAGAAATATAAAGACCATTTGCAATTGACTTGTTTACTTCTATTTTCGACCATTTGGGAATTTCACTTGGGATTTTCAAAGTTATTAGATTATTCCATTAAATTATTGTTGCAAATTTCACATATGTACATAAACTAATTGGATCACTGAACACAAGATAATAATAATTATACTCTCTCGAAAACAAAAAAAACATAATATCTCTCTTCAAAGTGTACTTGTTAAATTATTAATCACTTCCTGATGCTATGTGAGATTTAAAAAATAATGAATTACACGTCTTGATATTATGAACAAGAATTTGTTCTTCTTTGATCGTGCTGTTCGTCATTGATATCGTACATACTAAATTAATGAATGTTATGATAAGACTGAAAATTGTTGTGATAATATATATTGAAGATTAAAATGTTTTTAAGCAAAAACATTTTAACTTTGACTCATAACAAAAGCAAATCAAGATCTTACATCCAAATCTAATATACATATATATATTTTTTCTTTTAATTAATTTTAGTAGAGATATATAAATGATAATTTTTTTTTCATTTTTCAATTCATAGATATTCCTACCAACTTTTCTTATTCACTTTTTCGATGACATTCGAAGAAATCGATAAATTCTTTGTATTTCAAAAGTGCAAATCTAATTTAAACATTTTATTACACATAAAATATTTAAATAAGATTTGCAACAACATAAAATGTTTGAAATAAAATCTTTCGTATAAAAGCAAAAAAAATACCTCAATGTCAATCTACTATGTCAATCTTGTATTTTGTGTGTTCTAAAAAAAGAGATCCAATAAAATCAGTGATTTTAGTGTTAACTGAAAAAGCTTTAATAATAAAACGTTTTGCGAGTTTTGATTCTTATCTAAATGAAAATATCATACTCTCAAGATTATTTCGATGATAAACTTATTACGTATCTTTTATCACTGGTAAATATAAAGTAAGGTTAAAATCAAATTTACCGATAAGAGCAAGATAATAACATCCGGTTTATTATCCCAATCGTTTATGCGTTACAATTTTTAAACTGTCAAATCACACGATCATTATTATTATAATTACATAAAAGTAATTGTTCGCTTTATAACATAGATTTCATGTATTTTAGCATAGATTTTTCTTCAGCGAAACAACAACGCGCAGCTAATAATTTTTTCTCAATTAAGCGAAAAAAGTATGTCTTTGATAGATATAATCTGTCCTTGTGTTGAGATAACGCAATACATATTAATAAAAGCTTATTCGTTCAAATTTCGTCAGTCGTGTATTTAAACGGGCCGAAGAAGTGTCGATCGGACAGACGGTCTCTCTCTTCTCTTCAAGTTCGAGTTGAGTAAACGATAGGCGATGAAGGGTAAGTCCGGAAATGCTTTTAGTTCAGCTTTTTTGACACATTCGCTTTGAGATAACAAGATATTTTATCTTTTAAACAAAAATCACGCAAGACAAACATGTTAACATTTTAAAAACAAAATATTAGTTAAAAATAATAAACTTATACACAAAAATGCACTTATTGATACTATACTATCAAGATACTTCAATTAAGATTTATATAGACATTTATTTTATAACATTTTTAATTATAACAACAGTTGAATAATCATCATTGTAACCAACATTTCTAATAATAATTTGTGTGCTACAGGTATATACGCAATTGTCATCGCCTTCGTGGCATCGTGGATGACTGTAATCACGGCGGACCTCATTCTTCCTGTTCCCACCGAATGCCCGGTCCCACAGCCTAATGAGAAAAATACTACAACCAATCTTGCACATGAAAGCGATTGCACAAAATTCTACAAGTGCCACGTAGGCCAGAGAATCGAGCAACTATGTCCTCTTGCGTCTCCGAATTCCAAGGAGAGACTGCACTACAATATATTCGAACAGGTCTGCGACTGGCCTTGGCGAGCTGGTTGCGAAAGTTGTCCACCCGCGAAAGACGAACAGGATAGAACCTTGCCAAGCAGTAAAATACAACGAAGCGGCAGCTGTCGTAACTACTATCGATGCAAAAAGGGTAAAGCAGAAAAGGACAAATGTTCTCCGGACACGTGCTTCAGTCGCACATGCCAGAAATGCGTTGATTACCGAGATGGTGGATCGTGCAACGGTGATGGTCCCACACTCACAAAACCACCTTGCAGAACTGGTGAAAAACAACTTCATCACTGTGACTGTAATAAGTATTACGTGTGTGTTAATAATGCGGACCTGGCCGTTGAGTACTGCGACCCCGGTTTTCATTTTAGTCCCACTGAAGAAAAATGCTTGCCACCGGACGAAGCTAACTGTCCATTAGATAAAATATAGAAACAATAGAAAATATGGCGAATGTCCGAAGCCTATTATTACCACGAACGGATGTTGCCACATGTGTGACTGCAAGTTACTTCTGAATAAATATAAAAAAGAAGATTCGCCGTTTTCTTGCAAATTTTGCTCTGAATAGACAGAAATGCGATTTTTTTCCGAAAAAATAGTACGACGTAAAAATTTAAAACTTTATCAAGAGTAGACCGCGATCATTAATTTCAGAGGATATAAAACTGAAAGTATTGACAAGTATGAAGAATAAAACGCGATTTTTTTTGTTATATCTTTAATATATTTTATATATGTCTTAGATTAGTTATCTAAATATTTCAATAAATCTAATATATTGTTCGATTCATGTTTTTTATCTCTTCTTGTCCGATCAAACCGATCCTTCGATGTGCGTGTGTGTTTCATTACTTTCAATTTAGATAAAAAATATTTACGATAAAAATTATCGTATTTGAAATAATCAACAGCAAAGTAAACGGTGACGCCAATTACTACTGCCAGCACGCACGCGCTATAAAATGTTATCAGTATAATAGATCTAAATATTGTGATAAATAAAAGGATTGCAAAAAAATATTTAAATTTGAATAGAGTTGCAGTTCGGTGAATAAAAATAATTAGTTTAGTGATGAAGACGTTACCGAACGGTTTGCGGGATTTTGAAGCAATTAAATAATAAATTTATTTTGTGTGTTTGAACAAACGTTT